AATAATAGTGATGCAGATTCCACCATGGGTGATTCATTCATGTGGGCAGGATTGTCTATTTATAATTCAAATAGCACGATATAGCAGCTGATACTTGATATAGAAGTTCTACAGCTTCTATTCGAGACAGTGTGTACGAATATGTAGAGGAAAATGGACGGACATATCACGCATATAATTCGGGAAGTGAGTTTGAACGGAATACATAATGATTTTGCCTGCTCAGTCGCTGACATGCGTTTAGAGTATATTCTCCCTAATGATGATGCCGAGCAAGAGAGATTGGGTAAGTCAACTATGGCACGGCATATCGTGTGATTAATGTAGTCGCATTAATTAACGATCTCAGATTTGCAACATCACTTGTTCTCTTTGTTGTTTGATGGAGTATTACATCTTGCCCCTCTTCCCTCTGAACTCCACAATGTTTTAGATATTGGAACTGGAACTGGCTTGTGGGCAACAGAGTTTGGTAAGGCCATTTTACCACTCACCTATTCGATATGCTGTTAATGTTGAAAGCAACTAACTCAATTATTTTCATTTCTAGCTCAGAAATATCCTTCAGCGCAAGTAATCGGCACAGATCTCAGTCCAATTCAACCGATTTAGTAACGCACTATACCAATCTAAAACTCCACCTCCCATACTAACAATCGTCTCCAGTGTACCTCCAAATTGTAGTTTTGAGGTAAACGACGCAGAAGAACCCTGGAACTACTCTCAAAAATTCGACTACATCCACGGCCGGGCCATGGTCTGTTGTTTCAGTGATCCCGCCGGCGTAATAAATTCTGCCTACGACTCCCTTCGTCCCGGCGGTTACTTTGAGATGCAAGACCCGCAAATGCCTATAGTAAGCATTGACTCTTCGATAAACGGCACCTCTCTTGAAGAATGGGTTCGAGTATCATGTCTCGCCGCCGAGCGCCGCGGGCGTAAAGTCACAAATTCAAGACACTACGGAAAATGGATGGCCGAGGCCGGGTTCGTGGATATCGTTGAGAAACATTTCTTTTGGCCGTGTAATCCGTGGGTCGGAGGGGAGAAGGAAAGGTTGCTAGCAATGTGGACGCAGCAGAATTTGTTGGATGGTATTGAAGGGATGACGATGAGGAATTTGACGGCGGGGTTGGGGTGGACTCCCGAACAGGTAGAAATGTTGTTGGTGGGTGTCAGGAAGGATCTCCAAAATAAGAGGATTAATTTTTATGTTGATGTGTGAGTTTTGTATTTCTTTGTTAGCTTGGATAATCGTTATGTATTTTAAGAGGAATTGGGACTGATAAAATCTAGGGTCGTCTTTTATGGGAGGAAACCAGGACCGGTGGAATTGGAAAACGGGGAGGATTCCGATTGATTGTTTCAGTATTAGCCATGCGCTATTTTTTCATAGCGAAACTTGGGAGTGTACATATTTCTAGTGTACATCTATTTCGTGTTACCAAGTTATTATCCTGGGTTGGCTGTGCGGGTGAGATTTATGGCAAGAATCTATAATCCCAGACGTTCAAAACATGTCTGAGAATGCTGGTTGTGAAACTGAAATGACCATAAGACTGACTAAAAATCTTCAGCGGGTATAACTGAGGGTTTGCGCTGACAATGTCATGCATTTCAGCTGGACAACTAGAGCTTTTCATTCGCGAATCGCTCCCAAAAACGTATTATTGAAACCACCTGTCATTCAATATCATACCATTCTAGCCCACCTTGCAAAGCTTGCACTAGACAAAGTCAATTGGCGCCGTCAAAGCAGGGTGAAAGTAACAACATGCTATAAAATCCATATTTATCTCTATATTTGCTGTCTATTCTATGAAGTCTATTCTACTGTAGTAAGATGTATATAAAGCAGCAAATGAAGATGAAATCAAACGTGATAATTCTTGCAGGGGATATCTATGATATAGGTTTATATGCCTCGAAAGTAGCTTTTCCCTCCCAACTCATTCCCATTCTAGGAATCATGATAAAAAGAATACAAAAAAGTCAAACAGAATCCAGTCTCGATTTAAAAGTACAAACAAAAACAATAACAAAGGAAAATCTATGCAAAAAGCCTTCCGCCAAAATCCAAAACAATTCGGATACTGAACTACAGTACCAGACATTCCAAACAAAACTTTTCACAGGCATCAAGAGATTATCCAAATACCCAAGTCGATAATGCAAACCGCTTAGTGGACCGGGTTCTTGAGAACGCAAGGAGTGACCGGAGCGGCCCATCCCAAAAGTCTGTTTGCAACATCGCTGGCATAACAGCTGGTACCCCAGAGCGGTGCGCCGAGATCGGTTCCCTTGACGTAGGTTCCAGAGTTGTAGATTCTAGCCGCGGCATAGGCACCTTGAGCGGTCTTTGGAGATCCACTCTGGGTCAAGCATTGTTGCAATCCGTCACCACCACCTACGACCCCATAGGTACCAACTGTTCCATCTTTAACCATGCCGGTGATGGTGGCAGCTGGACATGGGCTGATTGGGTTGCCGTTCATGTTGCAGCTGTGTGCACCGTTGTGGTCTTGCATGAGTCCAGGGTTGAAGACCTGTCCGGATGTAGAGGGAGCGCGAACACAGCCCCCGGATTCTTGCATGACGATTGCAAGGATGAATCGGGAGTCGACACCGGAAGAAGCGGCAACTGAAGTAATGGCGGACTTGATGTTGGCTATTTCAGCGGGAGAGTTGTTGGCAGCACCGCCGAATTGGTTGCAGGAGATAGTCATGACGGCTTGGGAGTTGGCCCACCTGGAATTTTATATTAGCATAGAGAAATCAGTTTCACGGGTAAACAAGAGAACATACATGGTCTCAAAGGTAGTCCATGCGGAAATAGCAGGCCAGTTGGATCCATCACCGGTGAACATCTTGTAAGCGACAGCTCGCTCGACAAGGTTCTCAGCTGTGGATTCTGCAACAGGAGTTGGAGCTGCAAAGGAGACCGATGCCATGGCAAGGAGGGTGATGAAAGCTTTAGAGAACATATTGAATGATGAGTGTATACTACTAAAGATGTTCTAGAAGGACTCTGGAAAGGTCTGGAAAGATTGTTGGAAGAAGAGAATGTTTAAATAAAATGAGTGTATGTGGTGAGTTGGTTACAAAGGAATGTGGATAAAGAGACTGAAGAAAGATGTTTGAATGTTGATGAGAATAGAATGATGTTAAAATGATGGACTATTTGGAACTCTATATACATCTCGAGAGATTTGAAGGAAGGTCAATGAAATGAGACTTCTCATCATGGATGTAGAGGAATATGGAAACATCCTCCATGACAAGATTTAGATCTATTGATGTCGATACATTGGCCCACGATACAGAATATCGCTGAGCAAAAGCACTGTGTGGGATGAAACAGCTCGAAGTATGATAAGGCTTAGCTCAGGCACAGGAAATCAGGCACAATCTAAAGAAAGCATCTGGAGTTGAACCCCGAACAATGATCCTTTGATCATAATGTCGAATCTATCCGATCCTCAAGGGGCACCAGGAAATTTATTCCATTGTGCTATTTATATATTGCGATTTGTCGCGAATTGATTTATCCTCGAAGACTGTTCGATGCGAAGTGACTTCAAAATCGCGAAGTTAAAAGGTTGAAAGACGTTGTTGAAAGAACGAACATTATCCGGGAATCCATACAACAAAGAGACGCTAAAAGCCTAAAGAATTGTTCCTCGAACTCTCCGATGCTAGTGTCTTGCCGAGAAGTACACCGCCGTAGCACAATTTCCCATTGTATTGTAAACAACATTGCGCAATCACAGCAGTCAGCTGTCTTCACGTGTTTTTACTCCTACTCCTCTAAGTTTAATTTGCCCGTCGCAATCCTCAAACAAGGGATCAGAAGTTCTCGTTCAATCCACCATGATAAGACGCGACACTCATGTGTGCCAAGAACTGCGGAATTTAATTCAAGTGGTTCGCTTTGCTACCTTTACTAAGCGAGAAAGGGGAAGGATTTAAGGTGACATTCACCGAGGCCTAGTGAAATTATAAGTCTGGGACTGAAGAAAATTTAGTCAGCGATGAAGAAGAAGAAAAATTATGGAGCCGAGAATAGGTTTAAAGTTCTTATATTTCCGAGATGTTAAGATGCGGGGATGTGGCGATGCTTTGTTGAGTTGTAGCCGCATTGAAAATGGTTAGCAGAAAGTTTCACGTTGACGTAAGAATAAGGCTGAGTGCTACCAACTAGGTTATATATAAATAGGAGGGATGCAATTCATCTTGAGATAAATACAACGTAACATTCTACTTTCTCGTGACAATCTTATGAATGATACGACTTTTGTAGATTGTACTGGGAAATTGGAATGAAGGCACGAAAACATTCATTTGTTAAGCTCCTACACAATGGAATGATGAATTAGATGTCGACGAAATCAGGAGTGTCACATCATTCTAGGATTGCATATATATGGCTAAGCTTTTTGATGCAAGAAATTTGAACACAAAGGGTAAAAACGATCGCAAAATTTGCAGTCGACATTCATCGGGCAATCCCTTCATGTATGCGTCATTACATCATACAATATCACGGTCGGAAGTGCTTACATACTCCTGATGGTAAGCTTTCCGACAAGATATCAGATAACCCTATCCTGAAAGAACGAGATTGTATTTGTGGTCAATGTAGAATATTGATCACTGGATCCTTGAAATTATTCCATTACGCGGATGACTTACTTTCAGAGCATGAAAATTTGGAAATTGAGTGAGAAGATCTTTTGGCATAATCATGAAGTTTATTTGTAAATGATGACCGCTAATTGTTTATTGATATCTTATTTCAACTGACTTGATTAAGTCATAATAAGTTGTTCTCGCGAAAAGCTTCAAAAAAATGTTACCCCCAGATCAACCCCATTTAACGTCATGTCCGGCTCCAGATGGCACGGCTCATGTTGTGTCCCTGCAAATATAGAAAATATTTTTGATATTACCGATCGCCGATTCGCAAAAATGAAAGTACTTAGGTTTAGAAATATGGGTCTTTAAGTAGCTGCATCGCCGGACTGTTCGTAAAGAACCCAACGTCGCTCCACGCCATTTGAATCAAGGTTCTCATCAGAATCAGTTGCTTTGAAGTTTTCTGCCTCGGATTGTAGTCGAGATCTTCTAGGAGCACGTGGGTTTTTGATAGGGACAGAAAACAAGGCTTCTAGCTCATCAATTGTCTTATCGTCGACAAAAATAGACTCGACGTCTTCATACATGTCTGGATTTGCCACAAGAGCCTCTACACGAGCCTTCTCATGTGCTTGATATGCTGGAACTGCCCATGTCGTGTACCAATCTTGATAGCTGCATTTGCTCTGCTTCATCCAACTTTCGATATCTCGCCATTTGTAAGTGGTAATGATGGCATCAGGAACGACACAATATGGAACAAGGTATTCATTTTCGAAGAAGCTCATACCGTACATCTCCTGGTCGCCATAGAGGGAAACCACTTCGTAATGCCGCATTTCATCGGTCACTCGTAAGATTGGAAATCCAGCCGCAATTTGCGCATAGCCGTTGATGAGAGTCAGGTTTGCACAGATCATTTCAGTCTTCTTTCGGGTGCCATAAAAGCGCGGTAAAATGTGATCAGACGTAAGCATACTCAAGTGACTTGTGACCGAAATACCCTGAGTAAGACCTCGGTGTCTCCAGTAGGTATGAAAACGTAGAAAATCTTGGCGTTCCTTTTTGGTGCGGAGAGGCAAGGCCGAAGCTGCTGAAAGAAAGCCATGATGATCATCGTCTAACCTGGACTTACTGGACGCGTCGTGTAATCGCATGAATAGTCCTGGGCATTCTATCTCCTTTTTGTTGGTTTCCATGCGAGGCAATGTTTGGGAGTCTACCACGGCCCACCTGCGATTGTCTTCTTCCTGAGAATTAGCCTTCCCAAGATCTGCTTGTAATGGCATGTAACGTAAAAGTTCGAGTAGCTCGACAGGACTTTTTGGATGATATCTCTTTTTCCCAGAACCATAACTTCTCCGGACTTTCTTCTCGATAACATGATGAATCACTGGACCTGTTTTTTTCTTCAGAAGGCCTGCGATATAATCAAGTTCTCTCGGAGACCGGTTACCAGGGTTTCGTAAACGTTTGATGAGTGCGCCACTGCTGAAGGAGATGTATTTTTTGGCGAGTGAAGACTTTTTTTCTTTGGATCTGCCAGGTTGAGGTTGCAAATCATCAGGACTATCAGTCTGCTGGGTATTTTCACGAAGACGCTCGCTCTCTTCACCGTTTTTAGACAAATCTGTGTCTGCTCGAGTATTTTCACCGTCTCTTTGTTCACTCGAGGCACTTACATCTTCATCCAATGTATCTGCATTCATTTCTGACGCCAATACTTCAGGGGTGCCATCGATCGCTGTGTCATCTGTATATATCATCATCAGCTACAATCTACGAATGCAGAAATGGCCGATCTCATACCTTCATGATTAGAATCGCTTATGGTGGATGCATGCCCAGTAGCATTAAAGTCTGCATTGAGCTCGGTTGCGTCTGCGCCCTCTATGACATCGTGATGCTCGTCTGCCATTCTTCAAAACTGTGATTTCGAATCCCGAGATATGAGCTCAAGCCCCAGGCAAGATTTCAACGCGTTCAGCCAACTGGAAATGCTTAAATATCGGATTCTTTCTCGGCCAGGCGATGAAACTCAGTTCTCGTGGAATGTTGGCAAGATCGGCAATGTTATTGTGAATTGATGGAATGATAACGAAATGAAGTTTTGGGGTTCCTGAACGTGAAGAGATAATAATGGATTCGCGAACGTCAATCAAACTGAAGACAGCTCGCAGAACAGGAGATTTTTGCTGGTGCTGTTTGCGATGTTCGAGATTCAACTGCGTCTTACAAGTGCTGCCCTTGAGTGACTGAGATTATGGAGATCGAGTAATAATAATGATAATGATAGGAAAGAATAAAGAATTAAGAAGTTGTGCTTTCACTGATCTCACGAATATGACGAGCTATTTAAGGATAGATCGAACTCTTCAGTTGGTTAGGTGACTTCAGAGCATACTCTAAAGCGGTAGATTGCGATTTCCCGGAATCTATCTATCCCTTAGAGTAACTGCGCCAGCTTGAGAAGAACGAATTGAGTCCAGAAAGTATGTGACAAGTAATTGCCGTTATCGATGGGGATCGATACTCTCAGCAAGAAGCAGGTTGTAAGAAAGAAGAAAAAATTAATTGGAAGAAGGGCGACGGCGGGGGTGTAAGTAAATCAAGTCTCTAAACGTGTAGTGAATATCCATTTGATCGAGCACTAGTCTCGAATCCAAATAAGAAAGAGCATACAATATAGTTTATCCGTTTTATTTCAAAGGTGAGAGAGCGGAGTCGAGATGGGAAATAATCTATCATACAACAGTTCTGACGCTTCTTACATCCCGTCTTCAGTACGCCTGGCATCATCGCCACACGAAGCATCATACACATAGCATCAGATTTATATGTATCCGAACCTGAAGACCTGCTGAGATCTATTCTACGATTGAGAAGTATGGGGTTCTTCAAGTAATGAAGCTTCTCAAGCATTCCTGCATCACCCGCCCCCGAGTAGCTTTTCGCACCTTGTTTGAATTACAGGAGCAATCTCTAATCGCTCGTACTGAGAGCTTAAGAGCTTAAGATGGACTTAAGCCAGATACATAAAAACTTATGGGTAGGTAGACTTCATATGATGCGTATTTTCCATATCGATCACATCCAATGCAATTGTCTTTTCCTTGGTTGCTTCATGGAATGGCCTCATGTTTTTAGCAAGGCATTGCAAATGCAATCGTATGGCCGAAAAATCACCATGAACATTACAACAAATATGCAATGAAGAATTCATTGCCATTAAGTATCTCAATCCACTCGAATTGATGATTGCCATTGCAAGCAAAAACACTTTTTGATGAAGCCAAGTACCTTCCCCTTACCCTTGCCCAGACAGAACGATGAAACGCTCCCTTAGCGTTCGGAACATCATTCACTCCGCCAAACCAAAAAGTACTCGTATTATTCCAAAAGACAGCCTTTCCTTTCTTTTTCCCACATACACACAATGATTTTGCGATATATATTACAATTATAACATTGCACCCCTCAAGATGGTCGTCAATCGCGATGGTAAATTCCTTTTTCTATTTTCCTAATATGCGACGACCTAACAAATATCCCTAGTTTCGTCCTGGTCTACATCTCATCTCTTGGCCGAATTAGCACGACGGCAACAACAACAAGATGAACCTGCAGTTCCAGAGAAACCCGTGTGTGGTTCGGGGGTTAAGGGTAGTTATAATACGTCGGCACATGTATATGCGCTTGTGCTAATACTTGTACTGAGTACAATCGGTATGCCACATTTATTACCCTTTCCCACTTTGTGCCAACTAACATCTTCTCGCACAGCGTGTGGATTTCCCCTGATTTCTCGCCGTTCCTCGAAATCTGAAGGCCCGAATCGTTTTATATTTCTCTCTCAACATTTTGGAACCGGAGTCCTTATAGCTACAGCATTCGTGCATTTGTTACCAACAGCTTTCATGTCCCTAACGGATCCATGCCTGCCCTATTTTTTCAGCGATGGATATCATCCTCTCGCAGGACTTATTGCAATGTTCAGTGCACTAGTAGTTGTAGGACTAGAGATGTTTTTAACGACTAGAGGAGCAGGCCATTCACATTCGCATGGAGGGAACTGGGACGTTGTGCCCGGAGGGGAGAATGAAGGAGCACAAGGAAACGGGAGCGCTAAGAAAAAGGGGAAGCAAGCGAACGGCAAATTAGGAAAGATTGGTCTGAATCGTCGGCCGCAAGATATAGCCTTGGAAGATATGGGAGAATCCGAAGGACTCGTGGCAGGAGTCTCGCCCCTCCCTGTTTCAACACCTCAAACTGGACCTACCGAGAGCTCCGAGCGCAAGAAATATCAAGACGTCAATATCTCAGACGACGATTCTGATCTTGACCTCGAACTCGACGAGCTGGATGATCCCCTCTCAAAAGCTCCTGTACATTCTCCACACGACCCAGAGACCAGCTCTTCTTCCCCAGTCTCGGCAGAAGATTCCCAGAAACGGCAAATACTACAATGTCTCCTCCTTGAAGCAGGCATCCTCTTCCACTCCATCTTCATCGGCATGGCCATCTCCGTAGCCACTGGCCCTCCATTCGTCGTATTTCTAGTCGCAATCGCCTTCCACCAATCCTTTGAAGGACTCGCCCTTGGATCTCGCATCGCCGCTATTAATTTCCCCTCCTCTTCTCCTCGTCCCTGGCTCATGGTTCTCGCATACGGAACTACGACGCCCATTGGTCAGGCTATTGGCCTCATTGTACATAATTTGTATGATCCGCATTCAGCGGCTGGACTCTTGATGGTAGGTTTCATGAATGCTATTAGCAGTGGATTATTGTTATTTGCGGGATTAGTACAATTATTGGCCGAGGATTTCTTGAGTGATAAGAGTTATGGCATTCTCAAGGGACGAAGAAGATGGGAAGCTTTTGTGGCAGTCCTGGGCGGGAGTTGTTTAATGGCGTTGGTAGGAGCATGGGCATAGGAACTGGATGGATGTGTCTCCTTAAAAAATGGGTTGTGAATTATTTCTGTACTTCTGTATCATCATTTGCATATCTCATGTTTTGATTGGGCGCTACTTGGGTAGGAAGAACTGCATTGAGCGATGGGCACGGCATGGAGTGCAGGTTTTGGGATAGATATAAACTGGCAGCAGGTTTAACAATACACCACAGCAATACATACTGTACCTGAATGGTCTGGAGCTTGACTGTTGGCTTCCATATTTGTTCTGTGACTGGGTGTTCATTTGATGAGATGATTTCAACGTAGAAATTTGCAGTCAGCCAAAATGTTCTCAATCAAGCTGTTTTGCAAACTACAATAATCCGTTGGAGCAATTCAGTGGAGCCGTGGAAGTGTAAATCTTGGATTCTGGAAACTGCATTGTTGTCGGTATTTCGTCTAGGCTTCTTCAGCCAATGTGGCACTTGCTCATTCCCCATAATATCCCCTCTCGAGCTTCATCCTGCAGTCCATCCAAATTTATACGCGTATCGACCGAGTGTCAACCAATTTTTTTCTTCCAATCCAACCACAATCATGAGCACATCACAAATTCGTCCAAAATCTCGCAGCATTGGTAGGAAGCTGAATCAATTTTTCATAATCGACCGGCAAGTCTTAGTGTATGTAAGTGAAGTGGGCCTAACGCAATGATGCAACGCCCTTCCATTCATCCATGACTTCCATCCATTTGACATTGTGAACCCCGAAAAAAGAACAGCCCTCTTTACATGACGACACCAGAGTTGGAGGCAATACGCTGATACTTGGTCAGTCGCTGGAATTCACATAAGAAGCAGAATATTGTGACTTACTGGCCATAACTCAGCAGCTTCCTTTCCGACTGGTCCAGTGATGGCGGATCCCTTCATTTCTCCCTTTGGGTTGACGATCTGTAGAAATTTCGTCAGCATTTATTCCATCCTCATCACTCAGATTTCGTAATTTGTCCCCCAGATTCAATAAATCAAGTCGTGTTTATCGATCGATGTTCATCGCCTCAACTTGGGTGTTCTGTCCGCACCCCTGCACAAGTAAATGTATAGGAAAATTCTCTACTCACAACACCGGCGTTGTCCTCGAAGTACAAGAAAACACCATCGGTTCTCTTCCATGGCTTTGACTGTCTAACGATGACAGCTGGCATAACCTTTTTTCTTAATTCAGGCTTTCCCTTCTTGACAGTTGCCATAACCATATCACCGACACCACCGGCTGGAAGACGGTTGAGACGGGCACCGATACCCTTGACGGAAATGATGTACAAGTTACGGGCACCGGAGTTGTCGCAGCAGTTCATGACGGCTCCGCTATTTTTCTAGTCAGTATTTCCGCTTCATTGTATTGCGAATTCGAAAAAGGGTAGGTTCGCATAATCAGGAAATATATCGTGGTCGAATTGTTCGATATCGCAGATTGCGGGGCGTGAAAATTAGAGTGAAAACTCACACTGGGAGACCGAGAGTCATCTTAAGCTTGCCACCAGGGGCTCCACGTCTATTAACACCATCACATTAGTTGTCAATCCTTTTAAATTTCATTCTCCTGTCGCATGGCCTCAATGATCCATTGCCATCCTTAAAATCAAGCTTCGATTCTCCCAATTTCTTATTCTTCAGACCTTTCCCCCTCCTCGATGTTCCGGCGCATTCCCTCCACAAATTGACTCCACAAGGCCGTAATGATTGTGAAAAAGGCAAACTCACGAAATCTTTGCCATCTCGACGGTATTGCTTTCGGTATACTGAAAGGGTCGAAAATGTAATTTGTCGAATTAGAGGTTGTCGTCGGTCGGTATTATTTCGAGGTTGAATTGCAAAAAACCCATCTGGTAGTGGAAACCCTAATCTGAAATAAGCGAAAAAAAAAAAGTATGGATCCACTTTACATTCTAAATGGCACAGAATTTCTCACTCTACCTCGTGAGGTCAACACCAGTATAAATCTGAAAACTTATTCTTCTTAAAGAGTAAAAATATTTATTATTCTAATGGTCCACATTTGTCAACTTTCTAGCATTCACGAATAGGTACAAATTGCTTACACTAAAACCCCCAGAATATTGCTTTCACAATTTCATTGGCAGCTGATGAATAATTCATAGCTTCTTTAATTACAGTCAAATATATTGAAATCCCTTTTAATCCTAATAACACCAAAGTATTGGTATACTCTCCATGTAGAGGCAGTTGGGTCCGGGAAAACACAGACAGCGTGAGCTGAAAGGATCCCATCTCCATAAAGTATCATAGTCTGCGAGAATTCCACGCCCTTGTGAAATCCCTGGTCTCGTTCGCCATGTACGCCCTGCTCAGTTTACCATCCCTCCTACATATGACCGAAGAATTACAAAAGGAAATTATGCGAAGATTCAAGACCGATTGTCGGATTCAAACTTCGTCAAGATTAGTACCGCTCTAAAGGACATCATACAACGCGAGTTTCCAGACGCGTCCCTTGTATATATTAATTCGTCGGACTGCCCTTCGTCTTAGATTGTGTGTATCCCAATGTAGAGAATTTTTTGCCCAGAAGAGAGCATAGAGCAAAATGTTAAATTCTGAACTCGTTTGGAATCTAATAACCCCATAATGTAGAAAGCAGACGTAATTGAAACAACATCAATGTCCTTGGATTTGCTCATGACTGAGTCTGCTCGGCAGTCTCCTTACTTACTTCTGCTGCCACACTGGCATCTTGTCGTTCAGTGTCGCTTTCTTGCTTTAGTATAACAGGGTCTGCTTTAGGAATGGCTGTTTCGGGCACGGTTTGCTCGCTACTAGCGGCAGCTTCTATATCCGTGGCAATATTGGCCTTGGGGGGGTCTTTCACTGAGGCTGTTGAGGGCACAAGTGGGTTTTCGGCTTTTTCTTGAACCGATGCTACGGTCGTGGCTTCGAGCGGTTCTGCCATATCAATATCACCTTCGTCATCAACAACTGGCTTAGGCGAGTTTGAGCGAGATGGGGCGTTCGATGGGCCTGCTTCCAGGGTTTCGGTAGCTGCTGCATTTTGAGTCTTCTGCTCCATGAGCTCTGCATTAACTTTTGCGTTCGCTTCGGTGACAGCTGTTGGTGCATCTTCAATCTCGTCATGGACTTCAATTTCGGGAGTAGGAACACCACTGTCCATATCAACATCGGAGTAAGTGTGGTTGCGCTGTTTGACTTGTCCATTCTGAGCAAATGCGCCATTTGCAAGATTTGCTTCTTCTTCATCGCCTTCATCGAACTCATCATCCCGCGCCACATGCTTATCATTTCGGTGCTCGGTATGACGAACATCCATGTTTTCGTCTTCATCAGCATCAGCCATAATATCATCGTCTTCGTCTGTTGCTCCAGTCAAGGTAGTACGGGGTACATCTTGCATTTGTACAGATGGGGCATGAGCAGTTCTCTTCAGATTCTCGATGACTTGGATTTTGATCTTTTCGAGATAATCTTTGGAATTAGCGTTCTCCATATTAGAAGCTCGAACATCAAGTTCGTAATCAGGGCCGTAATACTAAATATATGTGTCAATCCTAGTATAATTTCAAAAAGATCCAGTAGGAACCATACCTCGTAGTACTCGTTGTAAGGAAGTACGGGGTCCATTTCCTTGCCAACGAGAACACCAGTCTCAAATGCCCAAGTTCGTGCGACATTACGCATAGTATACCCACCTCCTCCCAGCACTAAAGTGGGCTTGTTAAAACTTTTGACAAATTGAACACAATTCGCGTGGCCTCTCATGCTCAAATTGAAACATCCCAAGCGATCGCCTGAAAGACTGTCTCCGCCACACTGAAGAACGATAGCTTCTGGTTGATAGTAATCCATAACACTCTGGATAACAGGTTCAAAGATGGATTTATAGGTGACATCGTCGATGCCGTCACGAAGTGGGAAATTGACTGCGTAGTTCTTGCCTTGTCCAACTCCAATATCTCGTAGTTCACCAGTCCCAGGGAAATATTCACCATATTTGTGGAATGAAACTGTCATCACTCTATCTGTCGTATAGAAGGCTTCCTCGACACCATCACCGTGATGAACATCGATATCAATATAAAGAACTCGCTTCTTGAAGCGCAAGAGCTCGATTATGCCGAGAACGATATCTAAAACCAAATCAGCACGAGATCATGAATACGGAGAAGAGAATTCCTACCATTGACATAGCAGAAGCCACTTGCTTCACTTTTCTTTGCGTGATGTAGCCCTCCGGCCCAATTGATAGCAATATCGCACTTTGAACGATTTAGACGAGCTGCACCCTCCATGCTACCACCAGCGCTGATTCCACAGAACTCGAACAGTCCATCGAAGACAGGGCAATCATCTCCGACGTTATATTTTCCTTGCTCCTTAGCGAAAGAATCCATGTTGTCGGGTGTGACTCTCTGAAGAAAGTCGATATATTCATCGGTATGGAATTGGGTCATTTCGTGCCGCGTTGCTGGTTTTGCTCGCTGTCAAGCACCGTCAGTACATTACTAAAATGAAGTCTGCTTGAACCATTTGATGCTCGCCCTTAAATTTGCACTCACAAATGGAGGAAGTGATGGCATAGCAATGTTGAAGAAGGGCGTTCTCGATCACAACTCACATAAATCTCCATTTTCTGGTAAACTCCATAATTCATAATCAAACTATGCGCCAAACGTATTCTATGAGGCTTCATAGGATGTCCTGCAACATAAGCATAGTTTCCGACATCTGAATCGTAAAAGTATGCGACCCTCTTTTTGGTGCTTGGCCCATTCGACACCGGATCTAAAGGCGCGAAGGAATTCGACATATTGGATGAGTTTGTGATTGTAACCACTAAGAAGTAACTCGAAATGTAGGATCAATCGGATAGTTGATAATTGTTGTTGATTGAATAAAATGTTGGGTTAGATTTACATACAGTGTTGTGGTCGTTGAAGGGCTATTTGAGACGAGGCAGAAAGAATAATAAATGGGAAAGGTATCCGTGGGAGATAAAAAGGTGAGAGAGAGCTTATAGCAGGGGTCAAGCAATGATGACCGAATGTACTAAAAACACACTCCTATCGCTGATTGGATGAGTGCCACTGTCGAGGCTACATCGCAAGGCTGAACAGTCATGTGTTGTTGATTACATAATGAATTTACCCTTACGAACTTCATGCGCGTTTCTAAGCTGCCTTAAGTTGGAGCTTCACAACACCAGTTAATACCTTGACACTTTTCGTTTTCAACCTCATCATCCAATTTTCTCGAGATACCCTTCTTTTATTTACTCACAGATTGATCAAATCAGAATGGATAGACTAAATCAGTTATTGGCCAGTGGCGGGCCTATGGCAGGCGGAAGTCCAGGTGGAGGTGTAAGCTATACTATTTCCAAAATCCAGCACGACGAGCTTGATTATCTCGAGGATTATTATGATAGTAAACTGACATAATTCTTAGGACAACCCAGGCTTGATCGATAACTCCGAAACTGTATATATCTCTTCGTTGGCACTACTCAAGATGTTGCGACATGGCAGAGCTGGTGTACCCATGGAAGTTATGGGTTTAATGTTGGGAGAGTTCGTGGACGACTTCACAGTTCGAGTTGTGGATGTATTCGCTATGCCACAAAGTGGTACAGGTGTCAGTGTCGAGGCAGTAGACCCAGTATTCCAAACAAAAATGATGGATATGTTGAGACAGACAGGACGGTTCGTATACCTTTCCCTTCTCTAAGATCCGGAATGTTCTAACACCATATCTCGCAGACCGGAGACCGTTGTTGGCTGGTACCATTCGCATCCCGGTTTTGGCTGCTGGCTATCATCTGTCGATATCAACACTCAACAATCATTCGAGCAATTGACACCTCGAGCTGTTGCCGTGGTTGTCGACCCCATTCAATCCGTAAAGGGAAAGGTCGTTATTGATGCTTTCCGTCTCATTAACCCACAATCACTTATGCTCGGCCAAGAACCGCGACAGAGTACATCCAATTTGGGACATCTTAACAAACCTTCTATCCAAGCGCTCATTCACGGTCTCAACAGGCATTACTACAGCATAGGAATCGACTATCGCAAGAATGCCTTAGAAGAGAGTATGTTACTGAATTTACACAAGCATGTATGGACCGAAGGTCTGCAGATGGATGATTTCAGAGTCGAGGGAACTCGCAATACCGAGCGATTACAAAAGCTAGTTGGACTTGCCGAAGGCTATGAGAAGCGTGTCAAGGAAGAGACTGAGATGACAAAAGATCAATTGAAGACTAGATATGTTGGAAAGGTTGATCCAAAGAAGCACTTGGAAGATGTTGGCCAAAAGCTTATCGAAGATAACATTGTCTCGGTTTCGAGACAGATGATTGATAAAGAGGCCTCTGCACCAAAGGAAAAGAATGGAGCAAATGGCCACGCACCACAGGACATGGATGTTGACGAAGAACTGTAACGATTTCCATATGATACTGTATAATAGGCGTTTGGCTGCTAGTTAGAGCTCAGCATAAAAATCTCTACAATGACATAGTTGGTCTGGAGGTGGAGTTAATGCAAGCTTAGTCCTGGTCCTCTACTTTTATTCTTTCCTTTATTGATTATGTGATACGGTAATTCTCGCAGCATATAATCGAGACACTGGGGAAAGCTGACATTAGGGAGACATATTTATTGAGAAACTGTTACAATGTCATTCTCTCAATCAAACATTCCCGAGAGATATTGTAGCTTTTGACAGACGAATGCTTCTCGAA